TATAAATGTACATTTATAATAGTTTCTTCCATTACCAATTCGAGAAATCTTAAAACCTTTCAATGTCGTTTGTTGAAGTTCTCTTCAAACCGTTACTATTTAATATGAAGCTTAATAAATTAAAGTCATCTACAATATCTTTGTTTCTCTTTCCGCCATAGCAAATATAATCAAAATGAACACACAACTTATTAAATTATAATTATTTGTTGAACAAATACACGGATAGATACAAATTATTTAACAGGAAATTATGTTTTAGTGAATCATTAAAAGGGGGTGATGATAGTATCCGTGTAGAACGCATACTGTAGTGTAAACAGACTACATATTATAGTAGCACTAAACCATCCTTCCATTTTTTTAATCTCCATAAAATTAATTTTACCAAATACCATATAATTAAGAAAAAAAAATTAGAGAATACGTAATATTCTAATGATGTCACCAAGTCTGTTACAGATTTAACATGTTTTACTTTATTTTGCCGAAGATCACTTACAAGTCTAGTGGGTAGAAGAATAGTACCAAGTACTTTCCTTTATAATCTTCCAATTTGAGTTCTTTAAATTCTCCATCAACTACTGCAGTCCCACTAAAGTCAGGAGCAGGTTTGGTCAGTTGTAGCTTGCAGGCAGACATGGTAAATTTGATCTATCTACAACAGAAATTAGTCATTTTTACATCACGATTCTAGTGACATGACCAATACAAGTATATACAAGGTACAGAAATATGTGCAAAAGTTTACAAGGTGTGATTGTTTTCTACACACGTTTTATTTGCAACTACTTTACAACCATTTTTTTTTTAACGTGACCAAGAATCTTTTAAGCAACTTTAGTTTTGAGTATGCCGTTTATCATAATGAAATTGTGATAGATTATATTGTTTAAGAGATAGCACTTGTGTTATTATAGTGAAGTTTATATATCCATCTTTCTTCATATGTCAGAGTTTAAAAACATAAGGTAATCCACACTATTTGTATATACGCCCCAACTATTAACCAGCGAAGCTGAAAGCTGCCCAGCAGACTCAACTGCACAGCTATATATTTAACAAAAACCTAATTAAGTTGTAAATTTTGTAGTTCAGACCAATAATGTTCTGTGACACTACTTACTAAGTGGTTTATAAGGATCACACTGAAATAACGTTACCAGCATATTCAGTCATTTTGATGGATTTCAGATTTTAGTACACAACTGAAGTGTGGATCTGAACGGAGAAAGAACATTACAACCATGTAACAGTGAACCTCTAAATAAGAAAGAAACCAAATGCCAATAATATTGTAATCCATAGGAAATAACATCATTAGTACTATACTATTCCAAATGCTATCCACCTGCTGATTGCCCTCTAGATAACAGTGAACTTGGCAGGATGTGATCCAAATTACACTCCAATTCTGGTGCATACTTGTGTAAATCACACTATACAATTTAAGCACTTAAGACTGAACATTAGACTAACAAGAAAGAGTTATGACAAATGTGTTATGCACCCAAAACGGACTTATTAGAGCCGACTGTTGTACCATTTGAAAGACAAACCTATGTATGATATTATCATCCCTGCTCGAGCACAGTGCTTCTAAAAGTCACCTGGACAGAAAGCAGTCTGTACCTTACTTGTGTCAAGTGATAGATATAAAAATGAAAAAACACTTCAATTGTAATATTTATGGGATAAGCTGATTACTATATACAGAAGTAAAAAAAAAAAATAATGAAGTAAACAAAATTATTTGTACAGATATTTTTCACATTCCAAAGTCCACTCTTAAAACACAGAAAACGTTTAGTATAATAGGAAAAAAAAAAACACTTGACCATAAGATTATCTTATTCTGCTTGTATTTTGTAAGCACTCTCATGGTAAGTTTTAAATTTATAATTTGCACTACAGTACGTGTAACACTTAAACTTACCTGAATATACACTACTGTTTGCAGTGAAGAATTGTATGTCTATCATGGTGTTCAGAAAATACATAGATAAGATTAATACATATTAATATTTATTACACTTAAGAGAATGATTATTTTACCATTCCAACTACACAGAAATGTTGCCTTTTTTTTTGCTATAGTTATCAAATTTCATGATGTATTCCACTCAAACTTATGTAATCTTCTGATGCCTAGAGAACATATCACACAAACTCATGCACAGTATCACCGAACATCATGCAACTGATTAAGAGTGAGGTATAACCACATGCCCAAATGTTAAGATTCTTCTATTCTCTTAGACCAACCCTAGATTAATTAAGGTACTAATTTTCTTTTTTTAAACATCACATATACAAAAAAATAACTTATCTATTAACATGTTTATATTATAGAGAGAATATAAACAGTTTATAAGTGTATTACTCTCTCTCATTGCATAATTATGCTTTCACATTGTCTTTGTATTACAACAGAGCAACTCAAGCTCAATCGTTAGTTTTTACTAAATAGGTCATTCTAAATAGTAGTAACAACTGGCATGTCAGTTAATTTAGCAAAATGTTAAGTCATGATGTTTCATACAAAAAAATACATCTTACTTTCAGCAAAATACAATAAATAAATAGGTATATGAACATTTTCAAAGTCCTAATACAAGTTTTAAGTACAACTTTTACATATATTTTCCTTTACACCTTTCTTTACCTTTTAATCTCTGGATTTATGTTGTTCTTCAGAATTAGTAGTATTTATATTATACAACACAAAATGTAAATGGGGAAATTTATAATCACTGTTACTGTAATTAACTGCAGTTGGTCTTAGCCCAGTAGTAATGTAATGCTATAGTGAGTGGTACAATACTCAATTTATTTTTTGTACAAAAAGCTACTTAACTTTTACTGTTAGACAATTTAACTAAATCCTCCATTTATATACATACATATATATATATTTATTTATTTATGGTCAAATAAAGCTTAAGCTAACTACATAGATAGGATATTAAAAAAAAATGTACGTCGTAAATTAATAAAGTCAATTCTATACCAAAATCCGACTAGTAGAATTCAGAACTAGTACTAGTAGAAGTATTCACTTCAACTTTCAAATACACTGAATATCTCATTTAATGCCAATCCTATTAGTAATACTAACAGATAACAGTAATAATACCAAAACTGCCGATCGGATTAAAATTTAAATCTTTAACTAATCACTTACAATATACCGGCGTCGGTAAGCACGCCATATTCAATTATTCATTGTAATTTACAGCATTAATTTTAATTTGTACATATAACTATAAAAGTTCTAACTTATACTTATAATTATATAGATAGTTATACCACTTACGACTGGTAATACAATAGTTTTGTATTACTAGTATTAGTAAACAATAACAGTGCAGCTCTAGCAAGAATTAATAACTTAGATTACTGACTTCATAAATTTTACGGCAATGTTCAGTACAATTAATCTGTTTTCGCATATATACTACTACTAGAAAAAAAACTAATTCAGAATTATCTTTAATCCTTACAAGTTACAATAACACTACTACACTCTTACCAACAAATACTTACATAACGCCACACACTCACTATCACAATGTATTATATCAAGACGTATAACAACTATGATATTACGCAACAATAATGCGTCCCAAGCAACTTATAAATAGCACGTAAAAAATAATAATAATAAAGCAAAATGTAACTAATTACGTGTTCTTAGAGCAGTATAATTTTTTTTAAAATCTGATCAATAGTTTTTGCTTAAACTCTTTAATAATTTATTGCTAAAAACAAATAAAAATATATTTGCATACCTTTGTAGATGTTGCAGATAATACCAAGTCTTTGTCACAGTGTCAATATAATAAAATATACAAATCAAAATAAAAGTAAATAGAAACAAAAAATGTACATTGAATGGTGAAAGTAATGTAAACAGAAGTGATTTACATTACAATATAAAATAAACTAGCAGAGTATCGGGCGTTGTTCGGATGAAAATGGCTTTAAATATCCTGAGTTGTTTTGATTAAATCAACCATATAGTATGTATTTTTTGACAAAAAAATCAAAATGATTTCTTTACCAAACTAATTATTTTGATTAAACTCAATAAAAGGAACATGTGACGAAAAAAAATTTGACAAAAGCTAATTTAATCAAAACATTGCTTATGTTTCTGGGATGTATTTTGCATGACATTTCAAGTTTCCAAAACAAAATTCCTAACTTTTTGGTGTCCTGATTTCTGCTGTGTGGTCAAGAGCTGTTTGCAGCGTATTCTGAATTTATTATTGTTCTATTTAACGAATAGTTGGTTTATTCTTTTCTCGTTGCAATACAACATAGATGAAAATTTGCCCGACACGAAACGTTTTGTAAAGTCATGATATAGCTGATTCTTGCGAGTACACGTAAGTTAACCAAAAGATTTTTTTTTTGCGAGTTATGGGGGCGCCATCAGCATGTGTTATGCCCCCAAATTCTCTGACCTGATTTAGTTTAAATATATACTGCCATTTGACAAGAAGTTAGTAGTTACATATACTTTTTATTATATATATATATATTTAATTAATCAATTAATATTTTTGTTATTTCATTATTATTATTTTTTTGTATAGTTAATTGTTTGACACTAAAATTTCTAAAATGTCACGTTACTGGGATAAAACACAAGGAAAAGTTTACAAGGTTAGTTCTTCTCGACTGGGGGCGACTCCAACCATTGGAAACAAGGATAAAGGAAGTAGCCCTATTAGTAAATAGAAAGGACATTAAATTTTTATGTTATTTCTAATAACGAAGTTATATATTGCAGGATAGAGAAAATTCGTAGTTAATAGAGAGTGGTAGGTAAAAGGGACGTTTATGTTACACATCTGTTGTTTTATGGCTGCTCGATCTCTTTGATAATATGTACATTCCATTAAAACATGTTCAGGGTCTTCAAAATTTGAACAATGGGTGCATTCTCCATTTGGGTTTACTTGTATTTTGTACAGATGTCTATTTAGACCACCTGTGCAATTAAAACGGAGGCGTGTGATAATTACTTCTTGATGTCTGTTCGGACATTCATATTTGATG